AGAATTCTTATAATATTTATTCAACCATCAGCTACTTATTTTTAAAGCTAAAGCTCTTTCTAGATATATTCTAGATAATAATAGCACAGATGTATACAGCAAGTAAATATTGTTTTAAGTGCCTTGCTTATATTACTTACAGAATATAACTACCCTATGAGGCAAGTACTCTTAGCTATCTTCATTTGACATATAATAAAACAGGTTTTTAAAGCTAATTGTATAGGGTTGCATACTAATAAGAGGTGGATCTGAGATTCAAGCCCAAATAGTCTGTGCTCTTAACCATTATGCTATTTTTATTATTATTGTTTTTATGTCCCATTACAGAGCAGAATTAACCACAATGTTATGCTGCTCCATAAAAGGTTATATGGGCAACAGTATTTTTCTAGTCAGAGCTGTAATTAGAAACATAACTTATCATCACTTGTGTCTATACTTACTTGTATGTTTATTTAACATATGATCTCTCTTATCCATAGGGCTCAATGAAAACTGACAGCACAGAGTAGGTATACAATTAGGACATATATTGAAAGCAAATTTAATATATAATTTTTATTTGTGGGTTCTTCATACATAAAATTTTTATTTTTTCCTTATATTCAAAATTGCAAAAATTCTGACCTCAAGGAACAATGTATTCTTCCCTCTTTAATGCTACTATATGGTATAGGAGCCGTTCAACTTAACAGTCTTGAATGCAAAGTCAGTTATTGCTCTAATTATTTATCTAAATGGTGTAATTTTGTACCTATAATTTTTATGCTGGCACCATTTTACTATGGAGCTTTTCCTTTTTCATGCACAGAAAAATAGAGAATGTATGTTTTGGGAGGGCCTTGCCTGGTGGAAAATATAAATGCAAAAATAATACAAAAGTAGTGGACTTAAGGAGAAAATGTAATATTTCTTTTCAAATATCAGAAATGTCTTGTAAAAGATGAATTAACTTTCTTTTGTGCACTGCCAAGAGCAGAATTAGAAAAAGTGAGTAGAAATTATAAGGTGACAGATTTCAGTTTGATATGTTTAGACTTTCAAACAAGTAGAGTTGTCTAAACAATGAAATCTTGGATAGAAGAAGTGGTGATTGAAATGTTCAGGCAAAGGGCATGCTAGGGCTTTGAACGTGTTGGTCTTTGTTCTCTTCAAATTCTGAGGTACTATGATTTCTTTACTATAATAAAGTTTGTAATTTTATACAAAATGCTAACCAGAGATACAGCACTGAAAAAAATCTATGATAACATATTCCTTGATTGTCTTGATTCTTGATTCTAAGGGAAGAATTGACTGAAAAGGTTTTCAAACAACAAATCAACAAAATTGGAACTTGGTGCTCTCAGTGGTTAAAATTTCATACATAAATAAATATATAATGGTGTGGATAGTTACTAGGTTTGCATATTAAATCAAAAATTTCTTTTTTTTTTAAACCAGGGCATTAAAAAAACCTTCAAAAAGAATAAAGTAAGTCCTACTGAGGAATGTATTCATGTGCATTTGAATAAATGCTGATTCAAAAAAGTCTAAGAAAGTCCTGAAAGTATGATTTTACTGTCTATACTGGCTGATAGTAGACTTATGATCTACATTTCCAAGGAATCTCTGAATAAGGACAGTGATACGGTTTGGCTGTGTCACCATCCAAATCACAACTTGAATTGTAATTCCCATAATCCCCATGTGTAACGAGAGGGACTCAGTTGGAGGTATTAATAATTTAATCATGGGGGCAGTTACCCTCATGCTGCTCTCATGATAATGAGTGAGTTCTCCTGAGAGCTGATGGTTTTGTAAGGGGCTTTCCCAATTGTTGGTTTGCACTTCTCCTTGCTGCCGCCATGTGAAGAAGAATGTGTTTGCTTCAATTTCCACCATGATTGTAATTTTCCTAAGGCCTCTCCAGCCCTGCTGAACCATGAGTCAATTAAACCTCTTTCTTTTATAAATTATCCAGTCTTGGGTATGCCTTTATTAGCAGCATGAGAACAGCCTAATACAGTAAGTTTCTCATTTCTATATTTGGGATCTCTCTAGCCAGTATATGAAAGAAATAAGATAATGTAGGTCTCATGTATCTATCCTTCTACGTCAAGTGAATTCTCTGCTCTAGTCACAAAGATTTTATGTCTATATTTCTCTGTGCCTTGATCATATATTTTCCTCCTTTACTTCCACCAGTGATGTCATCCTCTTTCAAAACTTGAATCCCATACATTTTAGCTTAAATTTTATAAAAATTTCACTGATTATTCAAGCTCTCTCTTAATCTTTCTCTTTGAATAAATCTTTTCACCTGAATTGGCTGAATATTTCTGGTACCAAGTTTATACTGTCTTGAATTGTCACGTGACTATTTTAGGAGTATGTGTACTTTAGCTTTAGGTTCGATAAAGCCCAAGGTGCTTCATAAATATTTGTTACATTGAAGAAAGACTGAATGAATGCTGTTCTTATCAAATAGGAAGGTCCTAACTGTGCCTATGATCTGGAAAAAAAAATACTGCTTTCAATGGACAATACAAAAATAATATAAACTCCAGATATAAAGTGGGCTATTACTAAAAAGTTACTTTTTCACATACCTACCTGTTGCGAGCCAAATTCTTATTTTTAAGACTTATCTACCAGTTATGTTTGTAGTTAACAATAGCTATCAGAAATACAATGGTTAGTTGCAAAAGTATTTGGGGCTGCCATATCTAATTAGAGATAATAGGTGGTACTGTTAATTAAACGAGGAAGAAAAAGAACAAATATTGAGCATCTACAAAGATTACAGGCATTACGTTAGATCCTTTTACAAGCATTTATTGCCATTTACTACTTGAAAAATATTGGGGAAGTCAATTAATCAATCTGTATCACAGTTTCTCAATCTGTAAGGCAGAGATAAAAATAAATAGTACCTGGCTTTTATATATATATATTTATTTTATTTTATTTTTGAGACAGTGTCTCACTCTGTCACCCAGGCTGTAATGCAGTGGCCCCATCTTGACTCACTGCAACATCTGTCTCCTGGGTTCAAGAGACTCTCATTCTCCAATCTCCTGAGTAGCTGGGACCACAGGTATGCAACAACATACCCAGCTAATTTTTTTATATTTTTAGTAGACACAGGGTTTCAGCATGTTGGCCAGGCTGGTCTCAAATTCCCGACCTCAAGTGATCTGCCCTGTTTGGGCTCCCAAAGTACTGGGATTATGGGCATGAACCACCACACCTGGCCTCATATGGTTGTTTTGAAGACTAAATGAGTTAACATACACTTAAAACAGTTCCTTGCATATAGTAATTGCTATATGTGTTAGTTTTTGTTATTGACAATTTTTATTATTAGAATCAACAATTTTGAGAGGTAGGTATCAGCTAATTTAGCAGATGCGAAAAATTAGCTAATTTAGCAGATGAGAAGACAGATGTGGATAGGTCAACTTGCCTTAAGTTTCATAGTAAGTGGTAGCACTAATATTTAAATTCAGGTCTGTCTGACTCTATAGTGTAAGCTTTTCCCACTATACCATATTGCATGCCAAAATGTTTAGACAAAGACATGACATGGGAACTATTTCATAAAATCAGAATGAGCTCCTTAAAATGGCATCAAATATAACTGTCAAATCTGAGCATAGGGGAATGGACATTTTATTAAATTTAGTTTTAAATACTTCAAGTATAAGGGTTTCTAGTATTCTGCTTTGTAAACAATTTAATATTGTTGAATTATCCTATTTGTATAGAATAATTTTAAGAAAGTCAAAATTCTAGTTCCATATAATTAATTTTAGCTTTATCATGTATAATAGGTATTTTATTTTACTCAAAACAATCTTGGAACCAGAAAAGAAATATTCATAGAGTATACAATAAATATTCTAGAGTATTAAAAATGACATTTTTTGCCAGTAAAATAATCAATATTTTCTAGAGAATATCAAAAATATTCTCTGTAGTTGAAAACTGCTGTATGATTTAAATAACATATGTAAGTGATCAAATTTTCTATCAAAAACAAATGATTAAACATGGTGTTTTTTGCTATGCTTCTCTTAAAATGTAGGAGAGTGGTTTCTGATTGTTAAAATGGCCTATATTAACTTTTAGGTGAGTTATTAAATGTAACTTTTCACTATCTTTCACAAGAGTAACAAACTGAAAATCATTAACATGTTGTTAGTAACTTAGGCCAATTTTTTATTCTTCCCACTGCTTACACAGTATTTTGAAGCATTACAATATAAGAAAGAAAAATGACAAACGACTGCATAAACTAATACCTGTCTTACAGTACACACACACACTCAAAATTATGAAATACATGCATTTCAACAAATTGATTATAAAACAATGTTTACAAAACAAATTTCTTTAATTTGTACTAGAAAATTAACATTTTCATGAAAAAAAAAAATCTAATAACCTAAGTGAAAAATATTTGTAGAAAAGCTTAGACATTAATCTGTCCTAAAGAAACCTAAAAGTAGTCTATAAACAGAATATAGCTTCTAAAATTGATAGTCTTTTTCTAGGTCAGGTTTCTTTGGTACCATTTTATAGTATTTTCCCTATTTCACGCTTGGTCATTTTGTCTGGTGCCTCTTCATTACCATAATAAAACAGTTTTGAGGACCCTATTAGATAAATATTCTTTATGTCAAATTTAGAGTTTCCTGATTTTTTTTATTTCTTCTTTTGTTTATTTCATAATCATCAATTATATTAGCATACTTTTATTATGAGGCATTCCTAAGAATGTCAGTTTAAAATTATTTTTAAGAGTGAGATTTCACTTAATGACAACAAATTCATTTTATCAATTTTTAAAGTGCAGAATTTTATATATTATTTAGAATAAGGGATATTTTGTTTTTGTTATGCTAGTGAGACAATGTGGCAATACACTTCATTATGGCAGAAAAGTATTTTTTCTTTGCTCCATCTAAAATTAAAAATATAAGAAAGGAAACCTAACATTATTCAGATTACTAAGGAACCAAAAGTAAAAGTGAAAAAAAAAAAAAAATGTGACTAAAGATTACTTGTTGTCATCTAACAGGCCAGGAGTGGAAAAACTTTTTCTGCACAGCATCAGATGATAAATATGTCAGGTTTTATACTCTATATGGTCTTGTTTACAACTACTCAACTCTGCTGTTTTAGTCATAGACAATATATAAATGAGTGTAGCTTTGTTCCAGTAACACTTCATTTATAGACCCTAAAATTCAAGTTCCAAATAATTTTCACATCACAAATATTACTTTTTAAAATTTTTTCAGCCATTTAAAAATGTAAAATCTATTCTTAGCTCACTGGACATGCCAAAAAAAGGTGACAGCTGGATTTGGCTTGCAGGCCAGTTTGCTTAACGCTGTGAAAGTCTCACTCATTTTTTAACTTCAGTACCAAGCATGGCACTGAACACATATTGAGGATTAAAAACAAAAGCTTCATGAATGAATGAGACATAAACGTGTTAGGCTTTTATTTAACTCTTTTACTTGTGATCAAAATAATATATTAGCATACCCTTATTTTGATATAGCTTAGTGCTCTAAAAGTACTGAAAGTTATTTTGTGCCTTTTAAATACGTAACAGTTTAACATTTTCTAATTTACTAATTATCACTTTTAAAATAATTACAGAGATATTCTTTAGTTATTATTTCTTAATCTTTTAGTCTCTTCTAGAATTTATACATTTATGTCTAAAGGGCCCTCACTTTACCTTGCTTATACGTCTATAACTAACCTTATATTTTTTAAGAATGATAAAAGATTCCTTTATGTAATAATACCTTTTATGGACATAGGCTGCTTTTAAGTAATAATGGGACATAAAGGGATAATATTTTGTATATAAATGAGTTTTATGTTCTGTGGAACATTATAATTACTAATATTTCACTAGGGAATTATCCAACATTTATCAGATCAGAAAAAAATGCAATCTGGCCAGGCGCTGTGGTTCATACCTGTAATCCCAGCACTCTGGGAGGCCAGGGTGGGCAGATAGCTTGAGGTCATCAGTTTAAGACCATCCTGGCCAATGTGACAAAACCCTGTCTCTACTAAAAATAGAGAAATTAGCTGGGATTGGTGATGCACACCTGTAATTCCAGCTACTTGGGAGGCTGAGGCATGAGAATTGCTTGAACCTGGAAGATGGAGGTTGCAGTGAGCTGAGATCACACCACTGCACTCCAGCCTGGGTAATGGAGTGAAGCTCTGTCTCAAAAAAAAGAAAAAGAAAAAAATAAAAAGGATATAATGCAATCTATTATTAAAAAATAGTTTCTAATATCAAAACAAAATTCTAAAAAGTTTATTAGTGAGAATTACTAGGCTTTTATTACGTAAGCTTTGATAGCATCTCATATTTAGAGGCGTGGAGAAGGCTAGAAGGCATGCAAGTATCAGATGAACCATATTTTATAACACAGGGCCTAAAAATATAAACAAATTTATAATTTAGAAAAACCAATTCTGTTAGCCCTATTCCTATAAAATATATAAAGAAGATAAACTTTACTATTCATGATATTCTATTTTTCTTTTTAATAAAACTGGAAATAAATCTGTTGACTTAACTTTTCATTTTATCTAGAGCTCATACCCATTGACAAAATCTTTGTTGTTTTTCGTTCATCCTATTCATAATTTTCATTCTTCATTTTTTTCTTACAACACACTATTTCTTACAATAGTTTCTTAAAACTATTTTCCTTTGTGTTTTATAGATTAAGCTAATATTGACAATTTTTGACTATAAGACATTAGGATTTTAAGGGAGAAGTTTTACATTATTTTACTTTCATCAAATTAGTATTTGTGCTTTCTACCAATAACTTCTGACCTCATTTAAAAACATTAGCAATCCTGATGTACAAAACATAGGTAAATGTGCCTAGAAACAGCTTCTTCTCTTTAGGTACAACTATCAAAGATTGACAAATTACTATATAATTTAGGTCCAGAATTATATTTCTAAATTCCTATCTGACACATCAATATTACATTTTAACTATTATAAGAACTGCAAATACTCTAGGGTGTAAAGTAAAAGGGAAATTAGTAGAATTACTTTTCAGTGGGCGTATATTGATTTTATGTTTGCTTATTTATTATTTATTTTATTAGTATTATTTAATAGCCCACAAGTGCTACAAACTTTTGCCCTATTCATATGTATTTATATATACATATAAAATATGAGGTGAACCTATTAAAAATCAAGTTATTCACAATCAGGTAAATTGTTTCTTTTCAAAAATAGATATTAGAGAAAACATATTTGTATATATTTTAAACCCATTTAAGAAACCCCTAATATAATTTTACCTATGTAGCTGCTATAGGTATATATTAATATAAGAGCACCTCAGTAGTTTTCAAGTAACTAAAAAACTTTAAGAATAAAATGCTGCTCAATGTTTGAATAATGAAATATATAAGGCCATGGAAACAGTCACTTGTCAACTAGTAGTACTAAAAAAGAAAACAAAAAACAACAAACCAGATATTAGAATAGCAGAAATTCAAGGTTTCTGATTTATGGAATATAGAGATGGGAAAGATCAAATAAGAAGTTTACCCTATCAAAATTAAGAAATAATTTAACAAGATTCTAAAGATTTCATTGACATACTTTAAACTGGGTAAAACGCTACAGTTGTCTATTTGTTGGCTACATGCAAAAAAGAAAAACTATCAAATGTGTTCATTTGGTAGTTACATAAGTTACATAGCAACAAATAAAATAATATTTAACTCTTACAAATTAACTCTTATGTAAAATACCAGGAAATAGTTCTCACTGAATACTCACAGCCACCTTGGTAAATAGGTGCTTCCATTTCCCTCATTTCATAAAAAACTAAGGCACAGAGTGGTTAAATGACTAGTCTATTGAGGTATAAGACAAAAGTACATTTGGTCTTTGTTCTTGGTTCTTATTATAGAACTCCTAAAACCCTTGGGAATTTCCCGAGTAACAGGAGAGTGACTTTTGTTATTCCTAACAAACACCATCCCCTGCTGTGCCCCCACAGCCCATCCTTTTTTTTTTTTTTTTTTTAGACAGGGGCTTCCTCTGTCACCCAGGCTGAAGGGGAAAGGGGTGTTTTTTACTTGAGGCAACCTTCGCTCCAAGGTTCAAGTCATTCTCATGCCACAACTACCTAAGTAGCTGGGGTTACAGGCGTGTGCCACCATGCCCAGCTAATTTTTTGTATTTTTAGTAAAGACATGGTCTCACTTTGTTGGCCAGGCTTGTCTTGAACTCCTGGCCTCAAGTGATCCACCCATCTGGGCCTCCCAAAGTGCGGGGATTATAGGCATGAACAACTATGCCTGGCCCAAATTTCTTCACATCTGAGTTTAGGCTAATGAGACGACCTAGGGTGAGTGCCAAGATAGCCTCAAGATGGGGCTGGTCTGGTGACTGAAAAAACTAAGTGATTAGAGCATTGGAATTTTCAGTCCCACCCACTGAAGGGTGGGGCTGGAGATTGAGCTCCATAATATCTCTCCTTTTTTTTTTTTTTTTTTTTTTTTTTTTTAAAAAGATGGGGTTTCACCTTATTGGTCAGGCTGGTCTCGAACTCCTGACCTCAGGTGATCCGCCCAACTCAGCCTCCCAAAGTGCTGGGATTACAGGTGTGAGCCACCGCGCCCGGCCATAATATCTCTTAAACAATGGGATTCAGAGATCTTCCAGGGTAGTGAACACATCAAGGTGCTGGAAGGGTGTTAAATACCAAGAGGAGATGGAACCCCCTTCCTTCTATGCCTTGCCCTATGCATCTCTTGCATTTGGCTATTCCTAAATTGTATCTTTATAGTAAACTGGTAAGCTTTATAGTAAATTGGTATAATTCCTAAACTGTATCTTTATAGTAAAGTGTTTCCAAGAGGTTTTTGACCTATTGTAGCAAATTAGTGAATCTGAAAATGGGGGGAGTTATTGGAACCAACTGATTTTGTAGTCAAGTAGGACAGAATTTTGAATAGCCTGGGGATCTGGTACTTGGGACTGGCATATGATGTGAAGGCAATCTTGTGGACTGAGCCCTTAAATCTGTGGAGTCTGGTGCTAATTCCTGGTAGGTAGTGTCAGAATTCAATTGAAATAAAAAGAAGGACATTGGGTATCTGGAGAGTTGGAGAATTGATTGGTCTGAGTAAAAAAACCCCACACGGCATCAGAAGGGTGAGTAAAAAAACTCTATCTATTGTCACCGTATTGATAAGTACCAGAGCCAGAATTCAAAGGCTTGAATTTTCAATCTAGTACTTTGTATTAACTTGAAGCCCCATAGGATACAAAACATTTTGTGATGTAAATTATTTCCCCACAACAAATTATCCAAGTAATTAAAAATAATACGGTTATTTGGTTATGAATGAATTTTCTGGTGAATTTTTTCTACTTTTTTGTTATGAGAAAATATGAAAATATCAAACCATCACACAAAATATAGGGATACGTAAACTCAAAGTGATTTACTCAAACACTTTAACACAGCACCCAAACTCTGACTACATGTTCTTACAAAGAAAGCAAAACACAGCGCACCTCTGTAGGAGATGGCTTCCTTCCCAATTGTATGTTTTCAGTTAGTCATAGCATAAAAGAAATACAAAACTTGGCCAAAGAATCATTGCCCTGTAGAAGCCAGAAGTTAAATAAATTGTGTAAGGATGACTTTATTTCTGCAGCTGAAGTTACCCTCTCAATACAACTCAATTTTGATTGTTTTAAAAGGCAAAACTATTTTATTTATAACCCTAATTATAATAATATCAAAAGTTCATATCATTGTTTTTATATAGAAGAATAGAAAAAAATTACTTCTTAAAATTGCATTTTCATATACTAGAGCAGCAGTTGTCAAAGTCTGAAAGTATAGTCTACTGTCCAACAACAATATCTGCATCACCTGGGGCCTTGTTAGAAATACAGATTCTCAAGACCCATTGCAGCTTTACTGAATCAGAAACTCTAGGGGTGGGGTCAAGCAATCTGTGTTTCAATAAGCCCTCTGGTTGATTCTGATGCAGGCTAAAGTTTGAAAACCATTGTACTATTATCATAAGAAGGCCAGTAATTATTTAGTAGATGCAGAGCAAAAGTACGTTAATGGTATGTTAATAAGGTAGTATATACAATAGTAAACTGATTTGAAATAGAAAGACATAGTAAATATTAAGTTGAAACTGAGGCAAGAAACACTTTTGGGGTTTGGGCAGGTAAAGGAAACAATGTCACTAGTGGTAATGTAATTTTATGTATGACTCTGAGGTGACAACTGAGGTTTATGGCTTTCTTGAGAAAATACTTCCTCCCCATATTATTTAACAGTGCTTATCCTTTATTATTTCCCTAATTTTTCTTCCTATATATACAGAAGTTGAAGGTGATTCTTGTGGTCTTAAGCCTAGATACTAATTCAACTTTTAGCCTCATTACATTTTGCATTTAAATGCTATTCACATTTATAACCGTAGAAAATATATCCCTTTTCAACAACAGTACTGTAAAAACAGTATATTCTATTGCAGTCATCTTACTGTAATTTTAGACAAATGACAAGGGTACCTTAAGAAAAGAACTGTACTGACAAACCACATCAGACCAGACGCCATGCTAACCATCAGAATTCTGCTATCACCTCCTTTGGAAATGTGCCTGAAATTATGCTGACATCAAGAAAATGACAGATTACCTCTGGACCAGTTCAATCTTCCTCATATTGTATAATTTCTAGTTTAAGCCCAAAGAAAAAAAGTCAAGAAACATTTTCATAATTCATCCACAGCAAAATTTTCACATTAGAACCACAAGTCACTTGTTCTGCCTAGCAAAATTATAAAAATAATATAAAAATAGTAAAAAGGATTAAAAATATGATTAGTTTAATCCTTTGAATATGAAAAGGCATGTACTATCTCACCTCTGGAGTGACATCTCGTGGTGCAAACCCCGTTCCTCCAGTTGTTAATATCAAATTCAGTTCCTTTTCATCACACCAATCTATCAGGGTTTCCTGAAAGAAAACAATAGTATAGTCATGAGCAGAAGAACTTGCCTTCTTGCTCAAAACATCCCATTCCTCAGACACTTTGTATACAACAAGGAAACAGATTCTTTTCAATAGTCAGAAAGAAAATTTTGAAGCACAATTCATGGAACATTTTCACTGTCGATCAAAAGGCACTGAAATTATGAGTATTTATTTTGTTAATTACAGAAAATGAGGATGCAAGTATTAAATTTGTGAAAGTAAATAAAACACAAGAAAAACCATAAATGAAGAGTTTATAATTAATGGCTTATTGGAAGTTCTTTTCAGCCATTCAAAATACACTACTATGACAGTTATAGAGATTAGAATTATATGTCATAAGATTTTGGAGCTAGCAGGGTCATTAGCAGATTTGCCTCTTTATTTTCTGAGACAACTGAAGTGCAATCTGCTTAAAGAATTTGCAAAGTTACACAGCTAGTTTGTAACAAAGTGAAACTAGGATCTCCATCTGCTGATTTTTTTCCATTTTTGCTAATTCTATTAACCCATTCTACATTTTAGCTATTTGCTGAAAAGGGCAATTAAATGCTTATTAAATTACAATCATACACTTGCATTGGTATTATATTGTTTCATTATGTTTTTACAATTCAGAGTCAAAATTTTAAAATATAATTTCATCATTTAATTGCCGATAACTGGTGTGAAATACAAATAGCAGGCTGATACTGAGATGTACAATACAATCCCCTCAGTTCTCAAATTCATCAGTGGACACAAAATGTAGGATTATTTAGAATAAATCCAAGATCTAAAAATGATTTTTTCCCTTTCTTTGCAGATTTGTGTTTTATTCTGGTATCACAGAAATGCAGAGCTCAGAGCTCCAAATGAAGGGAATTTTTCTGTGCAATGATTAATTAATGACAACAAACTATTTTTAAAAATGTAAATTGTAGATTACTGAGAGCCCACCTAATGAATTTGAATCCCTGATATAGTTATAATTTTGTTCTGAGGATAGCCCCTAAAAAAAAATCAACAATTATTATAATAAAGGTGCTTATAAAGTGGTTTCATAAACCAAAGTTAAAACTTCAATTGTCTGTGCTTCTTTATAAAAAGTAGAAAAGCTTAAATATTCACTCTTCTAAATAGTTCACTATTATTTCTGGCATATAAAAACACCAGTCGGATGTAGTAGCTCACGCCTATAATCCCAGCACTTTGGGAGTCTGAGGCGGGTGGATAACGTAAGGTCAGGAGTTCAAGATCAGCCTGGCCAACATGGCGAAATCCCATCTCTACTAAAAGTACAAAAATTAGCCAGGCATGGTGGCACACGCCTGTAGTCTCAGCTTCAGGAGGCTGAGGCAGGAGAATCATTTGAACCTGGGAAGTGGAGGTTGCAGTGAGCTGAGATTATGCTACTGCACTCCAGCCTGGGTGACAGAGTGAGACTCCATCTCAAAAAATCAAAAAACAAAATTATAAGGTCTAACCATGCCATGACATCATGGCAACCCCCATGAACCACACATACACTTCTGGAGGGCCTTCTGGAAGATGATGAAAAGAGGAAGAAATGATCAACCCCTGTGGCACTTACTTAACTTTGAGACATTCTCTATTGTTTCTTATTCCGGCCTCAATTGACAAGGCCATTGGACTTTGTGACTTTGTGGTCACAAGTGGTATTGGTACAAAACTACACAAGACCAATGGAACAGAATAGAGAACCCAGAAATAAGACCGCACACCTACAACTGTGTGATCTTTGACAAACCTGATAAAAACAAGCGATGGGGACAGAATAGAGAACCCAGAAATAAGACCGCACATCTAAAACTGTCTGATCTTTGACAAACTTGACAAAAATAAGCAATAACCTATTCAATAAATGGTGCTAGGAGAACTGGCTGGCCATATACAAAAAATTGAGTCTGGACCCCTACCTTACGCTATATACAAAAATTACCTCAAGATGGATTAAAGACTTAAATATAAAACCCAAAACTATAAACACCCTAGAAGACATCCTAGGTAATACCATTTAGGATATATGCATGGGCAAAGATTTTATGACAAAGACATTAAAAGCAATTGCAACAAAAGTAAAAATTGACAAATGGGATGAATTAAACTAAAGAACTTCTGCACAGCAAAATAAACTATCAAAAGAGTAAACAACCTACAAAATGGGAGAAAACTGTTTACAAACTATGCATCTGACTAGGTCTAATATCCAGCATCTGCAAGGAACTTAAACAAATTTACAAGAAAAAAAAAACCAAACAACTCTATTAAAAACTGGGCAAAGGACATGAACACACACTTCTCAAAAGACATACATGTGTCCTATAAGCATATGAACAAAAGCTCAACATCACTAATCATTAGCAAAATGCAAATCAAAACAACAATGAGCTATCATCTCACGCAAGTCAGAATGACTGTTACTAAAAAGTCAAATAATAACAGATACTGGCAAGGTTGTGGAGAAAAAGGGACACTTTTACACTGTTGGTGGGAGTACAAATTAGTTCAACCATTGTGGAAGACAGTGTTGCAATTCCTCAAAGACCTACAGAGAGAAATACCATTCAAACCAGCAATCCCATTACTGGGTATATATCCAAAGGATAAATCATTATATTATAAAGATACATGCACATGTACGTTTATTGCAGCACTATTTACAATAGCAAAGACATAGAATCAACCTAAATGCCCATCAATGACAGGCTGAATAAAGAAAATGTGGTACCTATACACCATGGAATACTATGCAGCCACAAAAAAGAATGAAATCATGTTCTTTGCAGGGACATGGATGGAGCTGGATCCCATTATCCTTAGCAAACTAATGCAGGAAGAGAAAACCAAATACCACATGTTCTGATTTAGAAGTGGAAGCCAAATGATGGGAACACGTGAAGGAACAACCTACACTGCAGCATATGGAAGGGGAGAGGGTGACAGGAGGGAGAGAAACAGGAAATATAACTAATGTGTACTATGCTTAATACCTGGGTGATGAAATAATCTGTACAACCAACCCTCATGACATATGTTTACCTATGTAACAAACCTGCACATTCTACACATGTACCCCTAAACTTCAACTTAAAGTTAAAAAAAAGGATTATACACGTTTATTCATTCTTCATTCTGATACTTAGTACTTATAGTCTGTAAGTCCAGAAATAAATTTTGTACTTAATAATTACACATATCCTACTGGGGAAGATTAAATATGGTCATACATTCTTTGTAAATTCTCCTATCAGGAGGTGGGGTCTACTTGCACAATGCTTGCAATTGGGCTGGACGTCTGACTTGATCTGATCAATGGAACGGGGCAATAAGTCACGTTGTGGCAGTTCTGAAGCCTAGGTTTCAAAAGGTTTCCATTTTTCTGTCTTCACTCTTTGGTAAACTTCTATGACTAAGTCAGAAAGGCTGGGCTAGACAATGGAATGATGGGTGACCACTTGGAGAGAAAGGTCTAGTGGAATAGCCAGCACCAAGGTCCCACACATCTGAGTGAGGCTATCTTAGATTCTCCAGATCCAACTAAGCTGACATTATTTCAGCCACATGAATGACCCTACTCATGTGGCTGAAATAACAAGACTAGAAGAAGATATTCCCACTCAGAAAGCCCACAGACTTGTGAGAAATAATCACTATCTGTATTAAAGCCACCAAATTTTTATGGTGGTTTTTAATGTAACAATAGAATATAAAAACAACTACTTTCACAGTTAATATTTTGGCATCCTCTTCTTTTTTTGACTATTTCCAATTTATATTTCATTAGTGATAAGTTTATCTTTTATACTAAGCTTCAGAATAGTTCTAAAGGTAAGCTTCAGGTGTTATATTTAAATATATTAGCATAAAGTCTTAAGAATATGATTATATAAGTTAATTTTCAGTATAAGAAACATGCAAATACCTAGTATGGGCCAAGAATATGCCTAGTATGTGCCAGAAATATACACACACACACACACACACACACACACACACACAAATATATATTTTAAAAAGCATGACAAATGTGCTTGATGTCACAGACATCAGATATAAACAACATGGTAGATCAATATATTATGGTTAGTGTTATTGGAGAGGGTATATACTTCTTAAGAAAACTGTTTCAGAAATACTGCATGTATTTATAAACATAAAATGTTCTCTTTACACTTACATTATTTAATAATAATTAAAAACATGATAGAAATTTTTAGCAAAATTATTGTTGGCAAAGAGTAAACAACTCCTCAAAGGGAAAAATGAGGCAATAACAGAGGTAAGAGAGAGTAATTTTAGATAAGCCATCATTCTCTGTATCTACATGGAGTCTAATACTTATTCATTATAATAGGCATTTTTCTTTTCTCTGCAATTTTTTCTGTCTCAATCTTTTTGAGTTTGGCTCCGATTTTGGTTATTTCTTGTCTTCTGCTAGTTTTGAGATTTGTTTTTGGTTCTCTAGTTGTTTTACTTGTGATGCTAGATTGTTAACTTGAGATCTTTCTCACTGTTTGATGTGAAGATTTAGTGCTATAAATTTCCCTCTTAACACTGCCTTAACTGTGTTGCACAGATTCTGGTATGTTGTATCTTTGTTCTCACTAGTTTTAAAGAACTTAATTATTTCTGCCTTAATTTCATTATTTACCAGTCATTCAGGAGCAGGTTATTCAATTCCATGTAATTGTACAGTTGTGAGTAAATTTCTGTCTTGATTTCTAATTTGATTGGACTGTGGTCCTAGCGATTGTTATAATTTCATTTCTTTTGTATTTCCTCAGGAGTGTTTTACTTCTGATGATGTGATCAATTATAGAGTATTTTTTGTGTGACAATAAGAAAAATGTATATTCTGTTCTTTTTGTGTGCAGAGTTCTACAAATATCCATCAGGTCCATTTGATACATGGCTGCATTCTAGTCCTGCATATCTCTCTTTTTTTCTCTATGATCTATCTAAAATTGTGATTGGGTGTTAAAGATTTCCACTATTACTTTTTGGGAGTCTAAGTCTCTTTGAAGGTCCCTAAGAACTTGCTTTATGAATTTGGGTGCTCCAGTGTTGGATGCCTATATATTTAGGATTGTTAGATCTTCTCATTGATTTGAACCCTTTACAGTTATGTAATGCCCTTCTTTGTGTTTTTTTATCTTTGTTGGTTTAAAGTCTGTTTTGTCAGAAAGTAGAACTGCAACCCTTATCTTTTTCTGTTTTCCATTTGCTTGTTATATTTGTCTCTATTCTTTAATTTTGAACCAATACATGCCATTGTATGTAAGATGGATCTCTTGAAGACAACAGCATATCAATGAGTCTTGGTTCTTTATCCAGCTTGCCAGTCCATGTTTTTAATTGGGGAACTTAGCCCATTTATATTTAAGGTTAGTATTGATATATGTGGATTTAACCCTGTAATCATGATGTTAGCTGGTAACTTTGCAGACGTATGTGGTTGCTTTCTAGTGTCGCTGACCTGTGCACTTCAGTATGTTTTTGTAGTGGCTGTTAATGGTCTTTCCTTTCCATATTTAGTGCTTCCTTCAGGAGCTCTTGCAAGGTAGGTCTGGTAGTAAAAACTTCCTCAGCATTTGCTTGTCTAAAAAGGATCTTATTTCTCCTTTGCTTATGAAGCATAGTTTGCCGGATAAAAAATTCTGGGTTAAAATTTCTTTTACGAATACTGAATATTGGGCCCCAGTCTTTTCGGGCTTGTAGGGTTTCAGCTGGGACATCTGCTGTTAGCTGGATGGGCTTTCCTTTGTAGGTTACCTGACCTTTCTCTCTAGCTGCCTTTAACATGTTTCCTTTCATTTTGACTTGGGAGAATCTGATGATAACCTGTCTTGGGAATTATCTTGTATGAAGTATCTTACTGGTGTTCTCTGCATTTCCTGAATTTGAATGTTGGCCCCTGTAGCTAGGTTGGGGAATTTCTCATGGATGATACCTGAAATGTGTTTTCCAACTTGGATCCATTATTCCCATCACTTCCAGAGACACCAAACAGTCGTAGATTCAATCTGTTTACATAATCCTATATTTCTTAGAGGTTTTGTTCATTCCTTTTCATGCTTTTTTTTTCTATTCTTGTCTGCCTGTCTTATTTCAGTAAGCCAGACTTTAAGCTCTAAGATTCTTTCCTCAGCTTGGTTTATTCTGCTATTAATTCAGCTTTATCAGATTGGTTATATTCTTTTCTGTATGAGCTATTTCATCTGTTAGCGACTGCCATGTTTTATCATGATTTTTACTATCTTTGCACTGGGTTTCAACATACTTCTGTAGCTCAATGATCTTTGATCTTTGTTTCTATCCAAATTCTGAATTCTGTTTTTATCATTTCATCAATCTCAGCCTTGTTCTGAACCCTTGCTGGAGAGGTGATGTGGTCATCCGGAAGAAAGAAGATACTCTAGCTTTTTGAGATTTCAGCATTCTTGCACAGATTTTTTCTCATCTTTGTGGGTTTATCTTTCTTCAATCTTTTGAGGCTGCTGATCTTTGGATATTTTTTTCTTTTATCCTACTTGATAACCTTGAGAGTTTGATTATGGCATAAGATGGATTAGCTGACTGGAAGATTACGATCTTTTTTTCTGCAAGATTTTAGGAGGCCACTGCTCAGCTCCCAACTTCTTGACTGTGTGCTCTAACTCTGGGGAATTTGTATTGGGCCCCAATTTTGACCTCTTTGAAGTTGGGTCAATTGTGCTGGGGGTTCTGAGGTGCAGTAGCTGGAGGAAAGTGCTAACAGATGCAGGGGTGCCTGTCTC